GGGGGGGGGGGGGGGGGGGGGGGGGGGGGGGGGGGGGGGGGGGGGGGGGGGGGGGGGGGAGCATAGGAACAGATGAACAGAATAAAGGGGGGCATTTACTGACAGAAAGGCCCAGTTGCGGAATAGCCGAGAACTAACATCTTGAAATGAGCCCACATTGCAACCGGAGTTAATCTTTCCCTAGATTGCAAGGTCAGAGTCCAAGGAAGTTCTAGGGAATACAAGGTCAGAGTCCCCTCTGCTACTGTCTTCACGCAAACAGAATGCAAGGAAGGTCATCATAGCTGTATTTGCTTCCAGTCTAGAGGCATCGACAATCTGGTGAAGACAGTAGCCACCAAGTCAGCCATAGCTCTGCCACTAGAACCTGTCCTCATCACATATGTGACCTGCCGCTTCTTCTCCGACTTGCCTCGTCTATGACTGAATGCACTAAAATTGCAAGAGATTTCTTCAAGGACCTTTTTCTATCAGAAAATAGGGATATTTCCTTGGATCAGCGTAGCCTGGAAATTGATGATTTTCTAACCCCTTTGACTAAAGCACTATCCTTAGAGCAGAGAGAACAGTTAGAGTTGCCTTTGGCAAGAGATGAAGTATGGACAACAGTCATGCTAATGGAGGAAGAAAAGACTCCTCGTATTGATGGATTACCTAAAGAACTTTGGGAGTCCTTGTGGGATTTCATTTCCCAAGATCTTATGGATTTCTACCAAGCAGTATGGGATTCTGGCGAGATGGGCGAGATAGTAGGGAAAGGTGTTTTGACATTATTATATAAGAAAGGTGATAAATATAATATCAGGAACTATTGACCCATTACAATTTCAAAAGTGGTTTAAAAATTGATTTCAAAGGTTCTTACTAACCGCCTGAATAAGCATATCGTGGATATAATCCATCCCTCTCAAACTGGGTTTATTCAAAGAAGGAACATCCAAGACAATATATTGCTCATTAATGAGCTCATGAAGTTTTCTCATCAGTCCAAGCACAATGCAGCCTTCATTTTCATTGATTATGAGAAAGCCTATAATCATGTTGGCTGGTTTTTCTTAATTAAATGCCTAGAGAAATTCAATTTTGGCCCACATTTCAAGAGATGGATTCAAATTTCGCACAGGAATGCCACAACGAGGGTAATGGTACTAATGGTTAATGAAAATGTGGCACCACCGATTACACTTCAGAGGTCAGTGATACAAGATGACCCAATCACTCCTCTCCTCTTTGTGATCATTATGGAAGTCTTAGCAACTAACTTAAGACATCACAAAGACATTAGACGTATTCAGGTTTCCTTTATCCCAAGGGAAGTTATCCAAGTATGCTCTCTCTTTGTATACGATCTCTCTCTGATGGTTGATGCATCACATACGAATTTGGAGGCTATTAAAAGATTATTGGATACATTCTGCAAACTCTCTTATGTGAAAGTTACTTGGGGTAATAAAACACTTGGATGGTGGATTCACTATCAAGGTGTGAGACCCTTGAATATCATCGCACTAAGTGGACCCATGGATTCACTATCAAGGTGTGAGACCCCCCGGATATCCTCGCATTAAGTGGACCCATCATAATGAACCAATTAGAGTTTTGGGAGTGTCTCTTTCAGCCACGGGCAAACCTACAACCAGCAATGAAGGGATCCTGCAACAAGCCAAGTTGAAACTAGAGTTGTGGAAGGACAAACACACATCCTTATTTGACAGAACCTTGGTAATGAATAGCGTCACATTGGCTTCCATCTGGTATGAATCTTCAATCTGGGCCTTAGAAAGAGTTACGCTCAAGTTATTTCAACGACAGTTAGCAGCTTTCTTGTGGCGAGGAAATCATGAACGGGAAAATGTTATCAGAAGAGTTACTTGGCTCTCTATAATCCAACCTAAATCCAAAAGGGGTCTTGGGATCATTGACCCCCAAACCCAAGTCATAGCCCTATCTTTACAATGGATTAAACGTCTCATCTTTAACCCCATCACTCCTTGGAGCCTCCTCGCCTGTGAGCAGATCAGAAGGTTAGCCCCTCCCGCTCCTGGTGAGGCAGACCCTATCATGTGGCTTGATAATCTTTCCTGGATTTTGCCTAGAGGATCCCAGAGGAACCACATCATTTGGAACTCTCACATAGACAAGCAGCAAGGAGAGACCTTTGCAGGGACCCCTTTGGATTACACCAATGAAAAATCGGAGGAGGCTTCCCTTTCCAGATAAAGTACCCCTGACGAGATGGGAGGAGGTTTGTCAACAACCCTTATTTAATAATATGTTTATCATAGATGCTCAAGATGTGTCCCTCATTGCATGGATGCCCCTTGGAAGGGGTGGATTAGAAGAGGAGTTATACGTGTTAAAGACTTATGGAATTAAGAGATTAGAGATTGGTGTTCTCCCTCAGATCTTAATGATCGCTTGAGGTATTGTCACCATCCAAGTATGGCCCTAGATAAAGTAATTGATATAATCCCCTTGGATTGGATCAGAATCTTTAAAAAAGGTCCTAAGTTTCTCGAGGGTGACTGGGTGGCAGTTAGAAACCAGAAAGGAATAGTTGTAGTAGTTGTATTAATTGGGAACATCCATAAAACAATATGTGAATTTCACCTGCACGTCAACCGCTCGTCACTTTAGGAAGCATACTGGTCTGTCGTTGTGGAAGCACGCATAAGCTCTCCATGTTGAGCTTCCTCGTTGGGAGTATGTCTGTGGAGGAAAGCACAGGGTGCGCGAGTACAAGAGAGAGAGAGAGAGAGAGAGAGAGAGAGAGAGAGAGAGAGAGAGAGAGAGTCTCCCCATGCATGTGTAAACACTGTAAAGTGTGTTTTTGTGTGTGTGCTCGCATGAGTGCATTTATTTGTGTCTGCATGTGTTTGTGTGTATGTATGTTTTGAATTTTATTTTATTTTATTTTATTTTGTGTGTTTCCTCCCCCCCCCACCACCACAACGGCCCCTATTCCACCCAGATGAGTAGATCCAAAACCGAAGCACCTTTAATTCTATTGCAGACAACGAAGGCCCGTGTGTGTGTGTGTGTGTGTGTGTGTGTGTGTGTGTGTGTGTGTGTGTGTGTGTAGCATGTGTGTGTCACATGAGTTCCGCACGAGCACGACACGTCATACCCGCGCTACTCCGACTAAATGCGTCGGCACACTATGAGCGAGATACGAGACGTGGGAGGAGATTTTCCAACGCAGAGGGTAAAGACGAGGCCGTTTTTAGCTGAAGTCAGCCAATTATGCGATGGTAGCGAAACGAAGCGAGGGGGGTGGGGGTGCCTCTTTTTTCGAGGAGCCATCACAAACATGCAACCATTTTCAAACCTTTAAGACAATTCAATAAAAACAATTCACTTATGCAAGTACAATTCACAATGCAAACCCAATAGGTCACAGAGAAGATACAAGCATCTGTAGAATGCACTCATCAATCCA